AAAAAAAGAAAGGATACTTCTAAAAAATTTATCTTTATCCACCCTCCTCTTTTTACTATAAGGCGGCCTCGGAAAACTTCCTCATTTTTGGATATTTTTGAGTTCTGGGACCTCTATAAGGCTTATTTTGGAAAGCTTAAGTTCAAAAACATAGGAAATGTTCAAAAATGCCTGAATGTTTGCGCTAAATAGTTGGTGGGTCCGAAAAATCAGAAATACGTTTAAATAGAGTTTGCTTTTGTTGAAGCAGAAGTTATGGTGCTCTGTGGAGATTCTTTTTCAATAAAGAGATTTTTTAATGTATTTTGGGAACCTAATAACTTGTTTGCTTACTTTGATTCTTGCAAATGACGCAAGTTCGTTTTCAGATGATGCAGGATACTTTTTCTGCACAGCACATAATCGACTTGGAAAGGCGCATGCGCAAGTGGAACTTGTAGTTGTAGGTAAGTTAGGAAACATAACATTTTTGGAGTTTTTGGATCAGCCTATGAAAAACTATTGGATTTTAGATAAAGCGCAAGTGCAAGTGAACTCCGAGAACTCGCTGAGTACACAGGAAGCTGTGAACATCACTTGTTCGGTAGCAGTGGATTGTGGGAAATCATCTGATTGTCCGGAAGCGTTCTTCAAATGGACGTTTGATAATCGCTCATTGGAATCTATACCGAGTTTGCACATAAAAACCAAGGTATCTGTTGTTTCCAACTCTGCCGATGTTCTAGGCTCATCATCTTCTTACAGTTCCGTGAGCAAATGCGTCCGTCAACACATGGGCGTCGACTTGTGCAAAAAGTCGACCTTCAGGTAAGAAATTTTAGCTTCGTATTGTATGATCCTATCATCATCTAAAATCCAGATGTCACCTTCTGGAAAATCTGCGAAACCCAATAAAGTCGTGTGTTTTTCCCTGTATGGTGAAGATACTTTGGAGCTAGCACCAAAGCCATTGATTCCTGCTCCACTTGCGGTGAAAGCTGAACAGGATAAACAGGCTGTCCGTTTAGCATGGAGAAAACCCAGCACCCATCGTGATATAAGAAATCATGCGATTAGTAGGGAGGTGAGTCGAAAGGCTTTCATTCACAAAAAAAATTTGGATGCTTTTCAAAATTACCAAATCCAATCAAAGAGCTTATGAGGGGTTTGCAGAATGAAGCATCTGGCGGATATTTGGTGGAACTTCGAACTAAAGAGGATCGTCAGTGGAGGCCTGCTCCTCGTGAAGTTGTTGCCGAAACAGATTCTCAAAGCGTTTTGCTTGATGGCCTTTCTCCCAACACTCTTTATCAGGTAAGCGTAAGCAAGGGGTGGGAGGTTATAAGAGTGCTGACAGATGCTAGAGATATCACACTTTCAGCTAGAGATTTGATACGCTGTTAACCTTAAAAAATCAGATTAATGGTAGATTTACTCTTTAAACCCCTATTTAAACTTTAATCTTTTCTCTTAGCATTTCCTAAAATAGTGCGACAAAATGCTTTTACAAGAAAGTCTTTTTTTGCAGTTTCGAGTGCGAACCATTGACTCGGTCAGCTCTGGTGACCTTTCTGCACCCACAACTTGGATCCAAACCCCTCCAGCTGCTCCAACTGAGGCTGTTGACGGACTACGATGGAGGACGCTCGACAATAACACTATTTTTGTTGAGTGGAATCCGGTGGAGAAGGTTGGTGCCAAGATTTACGAGCAGCATTGCATTTCAAAAGCTGCTGTTCTTAGGTGCATAGCTCTGGAGAACATCTTCGATACCGATTATCATGGTCGCTAGAGGACAATGACAAGATTGAGACTTCATCCGAGGGAAAGCGTTCTTTTCGCACTCATCACGTTGGTAAGTGCTTGGAAACTTTCTCACTCTCTGAATTTTCTAACAGCAACTTGTAGAGACGAAAACACCCCAAGCGATAGTCAGAATGAACACAACGGACGAGTGTCGAATGTTGATCTTTTCCGTGAGACCAGTGAACGATCAGGGAGTTGGCCTCACTAGTACCGATACGGTAGCCTTTATAAATAATGAAGGTACGTATTGGTCTACCTGAACTATTCGCTTTGTCTTTGCAGTTA